CTACGAAAACATTAGACAGTAACGCCATCTATACCTGTTGTTGAAGCACTCTATCTCCACAATTGGGGAAACTGAATTTTCACGTATTTCTATCTCCCCTACAGATGTCTTCTTCTGCCTGTGGGCAAGCATTACATAAATCGTTGGGAATTTGAATCAAAGTATCTACAAGACATTTCTATGAGTAATTAGTAGCATGGATGCTTATTTTTCCTTTTTCACTTCATTCTATAAGAAACTTTTGACAAAAGTCTACATCCACGGTTCGTGACTAATGGAATTGCAACATTCTTAGGCTAACGTCGTTATAGCTGAGATTTGGCAAGGTTTTATTCACTCACACAATCTCCCTCCATCCCAACGCGTTTTTTACGATGCATGTATATGACTTGACAGCGCTATTAAATCTCAATGCTCTCGCATACGACTAGAGCAACACCGAACATAAGAATAGGTATGACCCACCAAAATCAAAGGTCTCTTTACACTTGGAGCAGAAAGCACATGTTGTCTCATTTTATATGCATTCACAGCGTTCAACACGATCGCGCTCGCCGAAAGTGGACTACTGTTTAGCCCATAGGTTCACTGCCCTTTCTTCCATTAGAAAAGACCTTTTGACAGAAAGCATCATTATTAAAAAATGTGATGCGTCTTGTCATGCTTGTTGTTCTCGAGAGTCAGTTGCTGTAATCTCACCATTGGGGCTCTGACTCACTGGTGCTTCCAAACTCATCATCTGCCTGCTACTGTTAACCCCTAGCTTAACACCTGCCCGCGGGCTCCTTGCAGTGTCAGGGATTTCAAAGCGCCTCTTTTCACTTGACACAAAGTCGCACTTCATTACACTGTTCTTTCATGCTGCGTACGACATTTGCAGGGCCACTTCGCTTGGTCGTCTACGTTAGAAACATTCGAACGACTTTCCTCACTCGAACTTCCCCATCTGAACGGATGGTGTGACGATGAGCAACGAACTGCGTCAGCCGAATTACGACCCGTTTATATACTCAAAATCACAAGTGCCTCCGCCAGACTTCAATGACGAACTAGATGATGGTCTCGTGAAAGACAAATTCAAGGATTTTGCTGACAAAACTACAGCACATGGTGCTAAGCGGATTCTGATAGCCCACAATGGCATCAGTAGAATGTTCTGGATGGGCTTGATAGTGGTCTTTCTAACTTTATTTCTCTATCAAGCCACTACGCTTGTTTTGAAATACAAAAAACACGATAAAATTACGAGTATATCGGTACTGTTCAGTCACTGAAGA